ATATATACATATATATATATATATATATATATATATAATATATATATATATATATATATTTATATATATATACACCTGCGGCCCCTGCTTTCCCACCTTGCTCACTAGTAAATACATTGAGGTTAGGGCTATTGCCCTGTCAATCCTTTATAGTGGAGCATGTGGTCCTGGAGCCACTGGGTCACATATGTGGCTGTGTGGGCACTGGCACCATCATACTGGAGGACACTATCCTTGGTGGGTTAGAAAGAATGGGGCAGATGGTCACACAGCAGCTCCATGTTGGTTAACTTTAACATTCTTTGGAAGAACACGTTTTCTTAGGCAAGAAGTGAGTCTAGGTGTTTTTCTGTATGCTGTAGTAGGGGATAAGAAGGTTAGTCTTTTTGCCAGTATGCTTGCTCTCCATGGTTGCACGTAACGTCAAATGTAGCCTGATCTGACCATAGCACATAGAGCCAGTCCTCCTCACTCCAAGCAAGATATTTCATCCAAAAAGCATCCCAGCAATCTATCTGTGTCTCTGATAGAAGAGGTTTCTTCCTTGGTGTAAAGCTGGTGCAACATAAATTTCTACACACAACAGACATAGTATGCATGGAAGGATCCTCTAACACTTCAGGTTTGCTTTCCTTCAAAGATCTTGTTGTTTGTGTATTTGACTCTTAACTCAATACTGCTGGGTAAGTTTGGTAAGTGGACGTGATAACAGGATTTTTGGCGCGCATTGGCAGTTTCCCATTTGTGCCCAGCTTGTTTGGTAGTTTGCGTGCGATATTTGGCACCTTAAAGATTTTATTTTGCTATAATTTTTTCCAATAAGCCAGTGGGAATGGTCATAATATGATGCCATCAGTTTTTCGGTCCACAACAGCCAAGGCATGTATGTACATGCCACTCTGGGACAAGTGGTTAAGGTATGCCTCACCATATTCTAAGCCCTTCAAACATATTTGTCTTCATCCTTTCTGCCTCCCCAAATCACACCATGTATGACTGGAATTGACTACATTTAGCAAATCCATGGGCTGCCTTCAGCCCTTCGAGCAGTTTTTCTAGGATGCCTTGTCCTAGGTTTTTGGGATGTTGTCTCCAGCCCCCCTCTGTATTTCTTGACTTTAGACTTTGCAATCTTCAACAATTTACTGATTACTTTAGCTCCATGGGCTACCTTCTTGATAAAACTTTGGTAAATAAGGCTGAACTTATTATTTTATTTATTTTTACATCAGTGATTTTGGAACATACAGACAATATATATTAATAGATAATCAATCTGTATGTTAAAACTTAGCTCCTCTGCCCATTGTGACCAAACTCACTCACTCACTCAAAAAAAAAATCTATTGCCATTGCTGATGTGGGGGCTTAGGAGACGGAAAATGAGGCCCAAGGTAGGAGATTACCCCTACCTTTGGACCTCATCCCTTGCCTCATCTAATTTTGCATGTGTTTTTCTTCTCCTTTCCTTTTCTATCTCTTCTTCGTCTCCTGTCCGGTTCCTAAGATGTGAGAGCAGTGCTAAAAGGATGAAAGGCGGATTTTATATCAGTAATGCATGGCCTCCAGGAGCCATAGGCATGGTATTCCCTTGATTAATCACCAAGCTCTTACCCTTTATGGGGACCCTGAGGGGTAGACTTTCTTTTCCCCCACTTATTTCAGGCTCAACATGGCCAATAATGATGGTTTACCCTTAGTAGGGGCATTAAGGCTCACCCCTTCATCAAATAGCCTATGGTCATGACCAGGTTGGGCACATCAAGGGCAACAGGCTGTGGAGCAACAGTGTTTGGCAGGGTGGCCAAAATCCAAACATCTTCAGATCCCTCCCCTCCTTGCACTTTTCCAGATACTTCACCACCTTTCCTAGTCCCCTTACCTCATACCCCAGATTCTTCTCCTAATACTTCTCCAACAGCCATCTCTAACTGTTTTACCTACTGATTATTTCATAATAGCTCTTTTGCCATTTTCCATACACAAGGTTCGTATAGCTTCCCCTGCAACACACTATTTTATCCAATTGCCCTATGCCCTTAACCCTTTACTAATCTCTGATTTACTGCATTTGCGCCCCTTTACCCTTTTCCCTATCCTATAACTGTATAACCTTTGGCATCTAATGTCACTCCTAAGCCCCTCCCACGACAACAATGAGCAACTGATTGGGGATATCAAATTTTGTCTCACCTCTTCAGATATCTATCATGATTATTTTACATATATATCAAAATTAATGTATTCATAAATTTACCAGATGCTGCAGTTATGCCTCTTCAGATATGCATTATGATTCCTACAGGCATTCCTAGATTATACTTCTGGGATAACCACTGCCACTATGCAATGACCCTGAGATTTTCCCTAGTTACAAGAGAAAAATTGCTAGAGAAAAGTTTCTGTGGTGTTATAAAAATATAACAATCAAGAAATTCTTTTAATCTTTTATTAGACTGAAAATATTACAGTATAACATTTATTTAATTCAAAAATAAGATTAATGTAAAATTTACGAAAAACAACACTAATTAAAGGATGCTCACCCATGTTCTTTTCCTTTACCTAAAGTTGGTATTTCAGTGATATTACAATGCAAATGCCCATGTTGGTGAGCTGTAGACACTTCCTTCTTTTACATAAACATCCTTATTTCTTAAAATAAAAAGACCTCCTTTTACAGAAAACATTTTCTTTTTAAATTTAACTCCAAATACAGACAAATATAAATAAACTTTTTTTATTTATAGTCTCTTTACAAATCTATGAAGTTTAACAACTAAAGATTATATGATTTAAATTACAGGTCCACAGATAGTTTTTCCACTATCTAATACTGAGCTTTGTAGCCACAATTACAATACAATCATGCCATAATTGTATACACAAACTGCAGGGTGTGTTTGTAATGAAAAATATCTAGATCAATATATAGCAATGAATACTTTAATCTAAACTGTATTTATTTCTGAATATTTATTTATATATATATTTAGTAATTAATAAACATGACCAAAAAATATGTTTGTTAGGATTTTAATTATTTTGGTCTGGATGAACATAAAATAAAACATCAACTGGCAAATGACATATCCCTACTACAAAGAATTTTTTTGTTCATGAAGAAGAAGAAGAGGAGCTGCCATAATGACCACATTGTCCTATCATTTGGGGGATGGTCTCCACAGACTGACTTTTTTATGAATGTGACAATATCATCATGACAAACTGTGATATGCAGAGATAACGAGTTTTCTAGGAAATCCATCAGTATGTAATCAAAACAAATTGGGTTAAATCTCTATCATAAAATACCAGTATTCCAAATAACATTCAGTTTATGTAAAATATATGAATGTATATAAAGAATAGTTCGCGCTCTCTCACGTTTCAGTCATTTCCTCAGTCATTTTATGTTATCAATTTTACTAACCAATAGTGCACATGTAGCTAACAATGCACTTACTGAAAATTCCGAATAATGATAACCATTGTAATTTTACCAATAACAAGGGATACCTGTACAATGCATTATGGACTTGAAAGATCCTCTGTCATCTCCTGTACCACAAAAGAGGAAAGGCCAATGTACAAAGTCGTGCTAGGATGGCAAGAATACATGCCAGGCCCACTGTCTTTTTTTTTCCTGATTGCCTTTGCACCTGGGTGGTTCCACAAGTGCTTCTTTAACAAGGAGTCAAATACTAAACCTACCTAGCTTACCTGTTCACACTTTTCCTTGATTTTTGGCAATATTATTTTTTTTATTCTTTATTGCTATTTGTATTAATACCATTATAAGAATTATAATGTCAACAATAATTACATCATTATTAACAGCATAAAAAGTCCTAAAATGCCATCATTGTGCAAATAAAATTCATAAAAGAAATTCATGGTGAAGTCTTTGATTACCATCTAATTATTCCTGAATATATGCTGTTCCCTTACTTATACATATCACTTCCTCATGACTTGCTAACTGTTTGAGCTTACATGTAACTATTTCTTAAAATCATTACTGATATCAAAATTGCCACTTTCATTATATTATATTTAAATGGCAACCACCATTTCCCTCCTTAAAGGAACTTTAAAATATGGATGTTACCAGAAAGACTATTAACCCAATGCAGCCAGGAAAATGTGATGTTCACAGTAATATTTTGTGAAATGCATTTACACATCAATGGCTTCACAAGCACTTGTTAACAGTGTTGTTAACAATGCTAATAGCAATATAAAATAAAGTCAAATAATTCCAAAAATCAAGGAAAAGGGTTTACAGTTGAGATAGGTCATACTAGTGACTGACTCATTGGTGACTAAGCATCAATATAAATAATTAATAAATTAAGCCCATTGTGGGCATGAAGTGTGTACGTGTCATCCTCTGCAGCAATGGGTTAACACTGGTGTCAAGCAATACAGTCTTTGACTAATATGAAATTATCCTGTGTATTTATTATACAAATTGATGTGTGGCATTTATTTGCACTAATGTAAAAATAATGTTCTAGGATGGTATAAAAAAAATCACCAAAGAATTCACTAGACTTTATGTCAATTGTAAAACTAACTATGCTACATTTTAAATGAAAAAAAAGATGCAGCTTATAAAAATGTGAATACAATAGTAATATTGAAAGTAAGAAAAACAAAAAATATGTAAAAACAAAACAAAACAAGGGTACTAAGGAACTACATAACCTAACCACTAACATTCCATTACTTAAGATGAAAGAAAATTATTACCATTATGTCAAAACCAAAGATAACGAAAATACTTTTCTATAAGGACATGAATTTCATCACTGAAGCAGTATCATCCATTGCTGGTACAAGACCTTTAACTTGGGTCCATTCATTGCTGATACAAGACCTTTAACTATGGGTCCTCTCATGATGAAAGTTACTGCAAGTTTCTTATGGGTGACTCTTCTTTGTTTCCTCAGAAGTCATATGACCTGTAAAGTGAATCATATTTTTTAGAAATAATTAAAATGGAACACTTACAAACTTAAAACTGATAAAAGGTTGCATTCCCACTAAAAAAAAGAAAAGAAAAAGCCTTACTTGACCATATTATTGCCTTGACAGAGCAACTTTTAAAAATTGGCAGCTTGTTCTACCAGACTGGTTTGTATGGGACACTGTGAGTGTGAACTAACATATCTGGTACAATCTAGCAACTTTTCTCCAGCTTCAAGACCATCTTAATCCACCTCCACACACACACACACATCCCAATATCCAATGCTACCCCACTAAGCCTTTGGTTGCAAGTATGGAAGGCTTTTCCTCCCACCCAATCCTCTCTCTATAATCTCTCTAAACCATGAGACCAACATTTAACATTTCATCCTGCAGAACTAAGTAGTTATGTCCAAAAATTTTTGAACTGGGAAACTACCTTATGCAGAAATGGCACAGAGTACAACTGTCCCTCCCTCCCCAACACAAATGTCAGAATAGGCTTACTTGAGCAGCAAGCTTTAAAATTTGTTTTAAAAGATTTAGTTTTAATTCCATTTGTTACAATGGATATTCTTTGCTGTGACATACTATCTGTTTTATTTTGCCCAAATCTCCCCCTATGTGCAAGGAATGGCCAGGGTTACCTTTGGCCGGGCGTGGAATTGATAAGGATAAGTCCGATATGCGAAGCTGAGCCTCGCCCGGGCTATGGGGGAGCCCGGCCTGTGCCGACTAATGTCGACTCGATCAATCAACGTGTGTCAAGCGAGTGCTGACGCGACAGAGCTTAGTCCTTACCCACCGTGGTGCCCAGCCACAGCAGTAACCTCCGGGCGACAATTGCAACTTCTCGGCCTGGACGGGGCGCGAACCGCCGACCCCTCGGATGAGAGGCCGACACGTTACCACTGTACTAGCCTGAAGGCTCGTGGAATTGAACGCAGGTCTGCAAGATTGCTAGACGAACACACTTGGTGGTGGTGGTGGTGGTGGTGGTGGTGGTGGTGGTAGTGGTGTGGTGGTGATGTGTGTGGTGTGGTGTGGTGATGGTGGTGGTGGTGTGGTGGTAGTGGTGTGGTGGTGGTATGGTGTGATGTGGTGGTGGTGTGGTGGTGGTGGTGTGGGTGGTGGTGGTGGTGGTGGTGGTGTGGTGTGGTGGTGTGGTGATGGTGTGGTGTGGTGGTGGTTGGTGGTGGTGGTGGTGGTGGTGGTGGTGTGGTGTGGTGTGGGTGTGGTGGTGGTGGGTGTGGTGTGTGTGGTGTGTGTGGTGTGGTGGTGTGGTGTGGTGGTGGTGTGGTAATAGTAATAGTAATAGTAATAGTAATAATAATAATAATAATAATAATAATAATAATAATAATAAATAATATAATAATAAAATAATAATAAGTATATAATAGTAATAATAATAATAATAATAATAATAATAATAATAATAATAATAATAATAATAATAATAATAATAATAATAATAATATAATAATAATAATAATAATAATAATAATAATAATAATAATAATAATAATAATAATAATAATAATAATAATAATAATAATAATAATAATAATAATAATAATAATAATATTAATAATAATACTAAGTGTGGTAAAACTCTGTATGCCTCCTCTTTGCAATGTTATTTTTTCATTTGATTTGCTTTACCTATATGGTAATAGACGGTTTCCTTTCACAAGCTCCATATCATCTCACCAGGTAGTCCATAGCTAAGTGCAATAATAATAACAAGAAGTATCATATAACCCCTTTGATCTGGGTAACATTATGCTAATGGATTTGTATCTGCCATAGACTAGTGTCAATCATCTCTTTAAGGAGCTTTTGTGTATGGGTGTGAGTGGCCACAGATATGTCTGGTGTGCTGGAGATCGCCAGGGAGAGCCGGGGCGGCTCACCCGTCGGCTAAGGCCTGGGTAGGCCTTGTTGCTGCTGGCTGTGTCTTGCTCGGCTGGAGGATCATGAGTGATGAACTCGGCCCGGGTGCGGGAGCTTAAGTGGGTCTGAGCTGTGTAAGCTACCCGGGAACGAGGGGAGCCTGTGGTCCAATAGGCGAGCCGTGAGGTGTCCGTGGTCAACCAATCAGGTCTAAGTATGCGTTGTCGAGAAGCTGCTGATGGTGAGGGCGAAGGACAGTCCTGGTGTGGACCTGGACCCAACTGGGGAAGTATGCTGCGCTGCAGTTTGCGGGGGTCGGCTACAGGTACTCCCCCTCCAGTGAGGGAGCTAAGCGAGCGAGCGATAACCGTGATACTCCAGAAGGCTGGGTATTTGTGTCACTCCAGAAAGTCACCAGTATGGCAATGGATTTGTATCCGCCATAGACTGGTGTCAATCATCTCTTTAAGGGGTTTGTGTTGTGTGGGTGTGAGTGCCCACAGGTATGGTCTGGTGGCTGGAGAGGCCTGGGAGAGCCTCCACCGTCGGCTGAGGCCTGGGTAGGCCTTGTTGCTGCTGGCTGTGTCTTGCTCAGCTGGAGGATCGTGTGTGATGAACTCAGCCCGGGTGCGGGAGCTTAAGTGGGTCTGGAGCACCCGTGAGGGAACGAGGGGAGCCTGTGGTCCAATAGGCGAGCCGTGAGGTGTCCGTGGTCAACCAATCAGGTCTCGGTATGCGTCGTCGAGAAGCTGCTGATGGTGAGGGCGAGAGGACAGGCTGTGGACCTGGACCCAACCTGGGGGAAGTATGCTGCGCTGCAGGTTGCGGGGGTCGGCTACAGGTACTCCCCCTCCAGTGAGGGAGCTAAGCGAGCGAGCGATAACCGTGATACTCCAGAAGGCTGGGTATTTGTGTCACTCCGGAAAGTCACCAGTATGGCAATGGATTGGTATCCGCCATAGACTGGTGTCAATCATCTCTTTAAGGAGCTTTTGTGTGTGGTGTGAGTGCCCACAGGTATGGCTGGTGTGCTGGAGATCGCCTGGGAGAGCCGGGGCGGCTCACCCGTCGGCTAAGGCCTGGGTAGGCCTTGTTGCTGCTTGCTGTGTCTTGCTCGGCTGGAGGATCGTGAGTGATGAACTCGGCCCGGGTGTGGGAGCTTAAGTGGGTCTGAGCTGTGTAAGCTACCCAGGAACGAGGGGAGCCTGCGGTCCAATAGGCGAGCCGTGAGGTGTCCGTGGTCAACCAATCAGGTCTCGGTATGCGTCGTCGAGAAGCTGCTGATGGTGAGGGCGAGAGGACAGGCTGTGGACCTGGACCCAACCTGGGGGAAGTATGCTACACTGCAGGTTGTGGGGGTCGGCTACAATATGAACATGCTGTATTGAGTGAAAATGGCTGCGGGCAGGGTGACACGCACTTGCGGTCATGGGTGACGGAAAAGGTTCACCACAAGTATGCAAATCTCTTGGAGGCCACGTCATCTGGATCCTACATCTTTTGCATCTGCTAACAATGCTTAATTGTCATACTAATATTAGTGCCTGCACTAATTTTGCATTGTGTTGGATAGTGCCCTGTTTCTTTATAAGTGAATTTAGTGACACACTTATTAGTGTGCTAAAGATGCAAAACTCCTGTAAGAGGAAGTCAATAGCTGCAAAGGCAAAAGCAAGCTTGGGAGAAGGAGAGGAGGAACCCAAAAGTGTCTACTCTCACAGTGCCCCCCCCCCTTTCAAATGCTGATATTCAAGAACGGGGATTTAGCCACATTTTTCATACAAGATCCACACTTTTTTTTACCAATCTACATGGGGTTTTCACCATTTGAGATTAATTCTCTAGCAAAAATTGTTAAAAATTCAAAAACATATGATTTCATTATCATAACTGTATAAATGATGGTGATAAGCAATATTCATTAAATGAACAGATTATTAAAAAATAAATGGATATTGTCATTCTGTAAATCCAACTACATTATGGTATTCTATGAAAATTTTTTGATATTTTTTTTCTACAGATTTAAGTTGTTGCCTCAGTCTATACAATTTTTGTTTAAACGACATCTATATTTTTGGTGCCCTTTTTATTAATTGATTTGTTTGATACTCTCTAAGCACTAGAGGGGAAAAGAAAGAAAGAAAAATGAGGAAAAAATGGGGATTTTTTTTTTAAGGGAAAAAAAAATAATAATAAATAAAATAAAAGAAAAAAAAGTAACTTCAATTTAACGAATCTAATAACCATAGCAGACGATCCCCTTATATGCTTTCCTCAACATTACTGTAATTTCTCTTTTCCAGGTCACTTCCTGTTTCTGATTTGTTATCACATGAGTTCTTGGACAGATCAATGGTGACAGTCATGCTGGAATTCTCTGAAGTGTGCTGATGGACCCTTCGATTTAAGCATTTCTTTTCAATTCTCTCCACGACCTTCAAGGAGCATAATCAGAACCCTTAATTGGTATAGTTCCAGTGGCTCCTATTGTGACTGGCCTGATTCTTGTTTCATTCAATTATTCATTTATTTACTTATTAGATTTTTTTTTCTTTTTTTCTTATTTTACAAAAAGTTGGCTCTTCCAGTACTTATTTGGCAAGGAGTCAATCAGAAGCCCTACCTGACCTCACCTCCTTCCCTTATTCCTTGAATTTTCAGGAAAAAAATTCTCTTGCTATCATGAGCATTGTCATTATTAGTCCTATCATTATTATCATGACAATAATATTAACCACATGCCACCGGGGATGGCATGTGCGTACATGCAACTGCGTATTTGATTTAGTAATCGTTTTTACATATAGATGGCTCCACAAGTACTAAGTCACCAATGAACGAATTACAATAACTACCTGTTTCACCTGTTTACCTTTTTCATTGATTTTTTATATTTTCTAGTGTATAATACTGCTGTTAGAAATGTCAAGAACAATAAAAAAACATTTTCCCGCTAATTAAAGGAAAGGTGAAGTCACAAGATCTACTAATTGACTCTTTTGTGGCAAAGCACTGGCAGAGCCATCTATTTATAGAAACATTTAACAAAACAATATTAAAGAGAACACAACATTTTCCTGCCAGCATTAGGTTAATAAAAAAATCAGTAATAAAAACATTTTTTTTTTTTTTTCTTAAAAATTCAAGGAATGGAATAAATGGGTGAGGTCAGTTGACCTTGAAACTGATTCCTTGATGACTGTAAGGACAGAAAAAAGAGCAAATAGTGGGCAGTTCATGCTTTCTCCTGGTGTCAATGGCTTTATTGTGGCTGAGGGCAGGGGAGGGAGGGATGTGGAAATGCAGTCTTCAGGAGTTAATGGGGAAAACAGTAATCTAATTCTTGTATTGTATAACATTTCATGTACTTTCCACTTGTTGCCATGACTAAGTGCCAAGTATATTAACTCACTGGACCTGGATGATGTTGCGGACACTTCACAGAAAAACATGAGCCAAGGGGCAGGTGATGTAAACATGCCATCAACCAGGCAAATTGGCCATGGCACTGGTAACGCGAACTGCCATGATGAGCAAAGGCCAGGGTGAGGAAAAACACTCGCCATGACTGCACAAACCTCTTGGAGCATTATTTCACTCATTTGGTGCTTAGAAGGGGGCTTTAGCATTATTCCCATCGATAAACGAATGTGGAGTGTAACGTGCATGAACAGTGACTAGAAGAGCGCCAGCTCTGGGGAAGACGCAATTTCCATGCTGCGCACCATATTCCTGGCACCAGTTGTATTACGTAAAATTAAAATGAAAAAATGAGATATGTGACAAATAACCAAATTTTCCTTTTTTTCTCTTTTTTTTTTCTTACATGGAGATTTTTCCTACATAGAGAGATGATATGGAGTCTGTGCTAGGAAAAGTAATTACCATCTGGATAAAGCAAATCAAGAGACAAATATGGACAATGGAAAATGGCAATAATGCTAAAAAAGTTTACACAAAATAACTTTGCAAAGGGGAGACATAGTCTTGTCACCGCTCATAGGTGTTTGTGCGCACTCGGCCTACACACCACTTGCCCAGTATATTGGCCACTTATGTAACCCATTGCCCAGGTTTTCAGCTCCTTGCTTTCCATCATGCAACCGGATCCATAGGGTTAAGAGGCACAACAGAGTATCTACAGAAAATGCACATCTACAAATATAGACTCAATTTCTCCAAACTATAAAGCTATAAGACCAAAAATTGTTTCTTTGCTTACCTTTTCGTTCCAAGTAAGGATGACATCCTTTCCAAGCTGCCGTCTCTGTGCGTGGGATAATTGAAATCATTTGACCCTCCACTAAAACCTCTGCCACCTGGCCTGGGACTCCTGTCTCTGTTGCTGAAACTGCTAATTTCATCCTCATGCCTACTTCTGTCATTGTTGTATGGCCGGTTTCTTTCACTATTGTAAAGCCTATCTCTGTCATTGCTGTAGGACCTGTCTCTGTCACTGCTGTAGGGTCTCTCTCTGTCACTGATGTAGGGTCTGTCTCTGTCACTGCTGTAGTGTCGGTCTCTGTCATTGCTGTAGGGTCGGTCTCTGTCGTTGCTGTAGGGTCGGTCTCTGTCACTGCTGAAGGGACGGTCCCTATCATTGCCAAAGGGCCTCTCTCTTTCACTAATGTATGGCCTGCTTCTGTCACTGTCGCGGTGCCTAAATTTGTCCATGGGCTCGTAGTCCCTATCACGACCTCTGGAGGGCGACCTGTGCCTTCTATGAATAGACAAGAAAAATTTGTATAAGGAACATGTAAATTGATACACCCATTAATTATGCATAATACTGTATATTATCTATATTCTTACTATTTACAATGTTTTTCTTCAGTTACTTAAAACAATAATACACCTTTTATGTAAATGAAAAGGGATCTATTGTGGCCAGGATGTGTGGAATAAAAATCTAGGATGAAGGGGAGGAGAAATAGAACAAAAAGCTAGAATCCATACATCTGGATTACTATAACAGCTTCATATTTACTGTTTGTGAAAATTGTATCACTCTTTCTACTACCTCTATTTATCAGGCTTAGGGGAAACCTCTGCTCTTTTTCTTTTTCTTGAGAAGTTTGCTCTAAGCCTGTTTACTCTCACTTGATGGAGAACTTTTTTTTAGCCATTAGTTTCTGAATCATAATAAAAGGAACAAAGTTTAAAAAATCCAACTCAGGTTGTGTAGCATCCTCTTAATTTAATTTCCATTTTGTGTTCATATTGCAAAAAATCAACAATATACTTTCTTGAGAAAACTTTGCAAAAACAGAGAAAAGTCTCTACTATATGATCCAACCACTATCTCTCCGTAGAGAAAAAAAACAGGCTCATCTTTCCTAAGAAAGTTCCCAGAGAGGGGGAGGGGTAGGGGTAGAGGGAGAGGAGAAAGAAGGGGGAGGGAAAGAAAAGGAAAGGTACAGAGAGAGAGAGAGAGAGAGAGAGAGAGAGAGAGAGAGAGAGAGAGAGAGAGAGAGAGAAGTGAGAGTGAGAGGAGAGTGAGAGTGAGAGTGAGAGTGAGAGTGAGAGTGAGAGTGAGAGTGAGAGTGAGAGTGAGAGAGAGTGAGAGTGAGAGTGAGAGTGAGAGAGAGAGAGAGAGAGGAGAGAGAGAAGAGAGAGAGAGAGAGAGA